TTCCAAAGTCTGTTGACGAGGTCAAGCGTTTTACAGCGTTTGTTAATTTTTACAGAAGATTTGTACCAAATTTTGCGTCAAAGGCGTATCCACTGAATAAATTATGTAGGAAAAATGTGCCTTTTGTTTGGGATCGCGAGTGCCAAAATTCATTTGAAACCTTAAAACGGTGTATAATGTCTCCACCAGTGTTACAATACCCAGACTTTTCGGAAACTAATAACTTTACAGTGCAAACAGACGCATCTGGTTACGCGATCGGCGCGGTATTAAGTAATAGCAATAATCACCCTGTTGCATACGCAAGCAGAAGTTTAAATATTGCTGAACAGCGATACCCCACTATTGAAAAGGAATTATTGGCAATAGTGTGGGCCGTAAAACATTTTCGTCCTTACCTTTATGGTCGTAAATTCAAAATTATTACAGACCATCGTCCATTAGTGTATCTATTTAATATGCGAGATCCTTCTAGCAGGCTCATGAAATTTAGACTAATATTAGAAGAATACGACTTTATTATCGAGTATGTAAAGGGTTCGGACAACGCAGCTGCAGATGCATTGTCTCGGATTTCTTTGACATCAGAACAATTAAAACAAATGGGTGAATACCATATAAATGTAACAACTCGAGCACAAGCACGAAAATTACAAAAAACTACAATACAGTCTCCTTGTGATGTGGTTTCTAATCGCAATTGGTCTGATCAGCCAAGTGTTATTGGAAGTCAAACAAAACCAAGAGATGCTGTAGAGCTTAGGTTTATAGAGAAAAACGAATTAGATAATTTAAGAAGACAAAATAAGCTAACTGTGGAAAAAAGCGCGTTTTGCTATGTGGAGAGTAAGTCTACTATTTTTATTAATGCCAGTTTCCAATCACAATTGACGCGAGCCGCATTTGTGAGGGAATTGGATATATTATGTAAAGAAATAAACGTCGACGAAATATATTTTTTGAAGAATAAGAATAATGCTATATTTATTGAAAAAGTATTAAATGAAATAAAATCCCTAGGGAATAGGTGTTCATTAAAATTTTACATCTTGAATGACGTACGACGAATCGATGACAAAGATGACAGGAAGGTCATATTAAACGACTTCCATCTTTTGCCCACAAGTGGCCACGCGGGCATGAGAAGGATGTTTAACAATATTAAGAAATATTTTTACTGGCCAGGTTTAGAGAAAGATGTTCGAGAATTCGTTAAAAAGTGCGAAAACTGTCAAAAACAAAAACACTCTGTAAGTATTAGGGAGCCGATGGTTATCTCTTCTACGGCTACAACGGCATTTGACAAAATATTCTTAGATTTAGTAGGGCCGTTGGATAGGGATTGTTATAATTACTCTTATGCTCTTACATTACAATGCGAGTTGACAAAGTATGTTGTGGCTCATCCTTTAATTTCAAAAACGGCAGCAGAGGTAGCTCAAGCATTAGTTAATTGTTTTATTCTTCGCTACGGAATACCGAGAGAAATTGCAACGGACAGAGGATCCGAATTCATGTCTTCAGTATTTCAACAGGTATGTTTACTTTTAAAAATGAAACACTTAACATCTACAGCCTATCACCACCAAACTATTGGCGCATTAGAAAATTCTCACAAACATTTAAATTCATTCTTACGTATACAATCAGACAATCATCCAGAATCATGGAGCCAATGGCTACCATATTGGTGTTTTTCTTTTAATACTTCCGTGCATTCTGAAACTAAATTTACTCCCTATGAGTTAGTCTTTGGAAAAATCTGTTCTCTTCCTAGTAACTTAAATAGCATCATAGTAGAACCGCTATACAATCATGATAATTATCCAAACGAACTGAAATATCGCCTACAGTTGTCACAAAAGGAAGCAAGGGAAAATTTACTCAAAAGCAAAGTAGCAAGGAAATGTGTTTATGACAAACGTATTAACCCTATTGTATACAAACCCAATGACTTAATTTTAATAAGAAATGAAAACTGTAACAAAATGGATAATATTTATTCCGGTCCGTATGTGGTCGTAAAAGATGTAACACCGAATGTTCAAATAGATAAAAATGGTAAATTAGATTTAATTCATAAAAACCGTACAAAATTGTTCATACCGAATACTTGATAATAGTTACCAGCTGACCTGTCCCCTGATAAAATCTCACTTGTTATAGTATATTTTAGAAATTAAGATTGCATTTATACTTTACTATTGTATTTTAGAATTAAATATCGCATTTATACTTTACTATTATATTTTAGAAATTAAGATTGCATTTATACTTTACTATTGTATTTTAGAAATAGAGATTGCATTTATACTTCACTATTATATTTTAGAAATTAAAATTGCATTTATGCTTATTTTTAATACGAAAAAAAAAAACCTATGCTTAGTGTATTTTTTTTTTCTTTTTATGGAAAGGAGGTGTGGTGTGTACCCTATTATAGACATTCATGTATCCCTATATAATCATTGTGTATTCTAAAATATATTCAGTATTGTCTCAACATTCGGCGTTTCAATACCTCTCCAATATCCCCGCCTTACAGCGTACCGATTTATAAAATACTTGCGTGCAATGGTAGCAGAGCGGAGTGGGCGCACCGATCAATGTAAACAACAAACCGGTTTGTTATCTGCTCATGAGTTGAACGCGTCGCTGTATATGCTAGTTAGAATTGCACAAAAACAGTCAATCCCCGATCTTTACGATAAGCTATTGAAAAAGTGCCCGATAAATACAAATAGTAAAGAATTTAATCGTGTATCGGGTCTTAACGTGTTTATGGATGATCAGGAGTTAATTCGAGTGGGTGGCAGATTAGTGAATTCTCATAGTTTCTTTATAACAAGAAACATCCAGTTTTATTGTGTTCTAAAAATTATTTTACGATTCTATGTGTCAAACATGAACATAAACGTTTACTCCACGCCGGCCCACAACTTCTGTTGTCTAGTATGCGCAAATCCTGGTGGTTGCTGGATGGAAGAAATTTAATTCGTAAAATAGTCCATGAATGTTTCGTGTGTACTCGAGTTAAAGGTAAGACTTTGAATCCAATAATGGGTAATTTACCGGCTGAGCGCTTGGATCCTGGATTTCCCTTCATACGAACTGGTGTGGACTATACTGGGCCAGTCTTCGTACTAAATAAAAAGGGGAGGGGAGCCCATTTAACTAAGGCTTATATATGCTTATTTATATGTTTCCTTACACGAGCAGTTCATTTAGATTTTGTTACTAGTCTCTCCACCGACGATTACCTTTTGGCTCTAAATCGTTTTATTAGTAGAAGGGGTAAACCTAAGGCTATCTACTCGGACAATGGCAGGAATTTTATAGGAGCTGATAGGGAATTTCGTGACTTTCTAAACAATAGTTATGAACAGTTTGTAGACTTTGCCGTAAATGACGGCATTGAATTTCATTTTATCCCCCGTATTCACCCCATTTCGGAGGCTTATGGGAAAGTGGGATAAGGTCTTGCAAGTTCCACCTTAGACGTATTGTAGGCAAGGCTAACTTAACATACGAGGAGTTTAGCACGGTCTTAACACAAATTGAATCCGTTCTGAACTCCCGTCCCCTGTCACCTCTGTCCTCAGATCCTAACGACTTAACCCCTCTGACACCAAGTCACTTTTCATTGGCCGGCCGCTGACTGCACCTGCGAGTGAGAACCTGCTTCATGTGGAGACATCACGCCTCGATCGTTATCGCCGCATAGAGCAACTACGTCAGCAATTTTGGCAACGGTGGTCTAAGGAATACGTGTCCGAATTACAACAGAGGTGGTCCTCGAAGGAAGTCAGATAAAGGTGACATTCCTATGAACAGCTTAGTCCTAATCAAGGAAGACGGCACTCCGCCTCTCAAATGGAAATTGGGACGCGTTATTCAAGTGTTCCTTGTGCTGATGGAGTTTCACGCGTCGCTGATGTGCGCACCGCCACGGGTATCGTCAGGAGGGCATTCTCAAAAATATGTCCTTTGCCACAGCAGCCATGACGACGGCTGATGCAGCATTTTGGAAGTCGGAGCTTCCAAGGCGGGGGGCATGTTTGCGCGACATCTGGCCCATCTCTTTTCATCGCGAGAAAGTTTATGTTTGTACATTTTGAAATGCAGGGGGCGTCTGTTCAAATTCCTATTTAAGAGGGACGTTTGAACGGCGCCACCACACAACGATTTTTTCTTTGAAAATATAACATATCATTCTGTTTTATTTAATAAAATTGTAAGGTTTTACCAAATAAACCGTTTTCCAAAATTTTCTGAAAAATGTCAAAATGAATGAATTTATTGAAGAGCCCTGAAGACCCCCGTTACTGAACAGCCTGCTCTATGTGAGTAACATTGTGAACTGTATAGGTTTGTTTATTAGAAACAAGTTGGTTGGTGGTCACGACTTAACTAAAGCAGTCGCGATGAGGAAACGATAGTCTTGTTGTTCATACTTTTTGGACTTCGTTCGCGTGTAATTTAAAAAGTGCTGCTTTAGTGGGTTCGATGCCCGGACCTTGAAAAATTTTATAGGGTTTTCTAAGAGGTGAAAATAACCTAAGTTATTATTTATATAGACAGCTATCTGGTAGTAAATATCTTATTTATAGATATAGTATGTTTGATAAAGGTATTAACCTATTCAGTGCAATCATAAGCTGAATTTCTATACTTATCCCTTAGGTGAAGGAAAAAAGACCCGCTTTTTAACTACGCACAGGATTCATCAAATATTTAATACAATCAATGAATCGAATCTGAGTGTTGGGTGGCTGAGTAATGCCATGGGTGCATGACATGTGAGCAACTATTGTATATGAAACAACTCTGTGCGGGTACTGCTTTAGAGTCGGTTCAGATGGTGACATTTAAGTAAACGTGCTATGTACCTACTACCTACAAAATATGCCAAGAGGTCCAAGGCTACCTACGATTCCTCCATAGTGGCAAATGTCTAGGAAATTAAAAAGTAATCTAAGTTTCTTTCATGTTCAGAGTAAATGGGCTCCATCGTCGCAAGACCGTCATACGGGACTGGTTTTTTCAACGGGAATCCGGCGCCGGTGAAAGGCAGGATAGAGATGACACAGCAATTAGAGTATGACGTCACGAATGTACCGGTCACGCTGGACTACCTCGATGACGTCAACAATTACAAGATACATGTGGTGAGTAGTTCAAAATTCTAGTTTTTCTAACTCTGTGGTATAAAATTATAATCATTTTTTACCCTTGTCTGCGCCTCATGCCTCCCTGAGTGTGGCCGCGGGTGGACGGGATGGGTTTTCCCCTCCACCCGCAATAGTTTGGCCAGCCGCGATGGGGCGGCGTCCGCGTGAGCCGGACGTCGCCTAAAGAGAGGATAACTGGAGACGGAGCCTGCACCAGGAGCGGGCCTGGGAGGGGTCCAGAAGGAGATAACTACCTGGACCGCCCCTAAAATAGAAGCGCAAAGAGGGCACACCGTGTGGTTTTAGTCGGTTCGAGTCCGACACACCGCTCCGCCGAAAAAAAAAAAAGGGGGGGGGGGAGGGGCCGGATACGCCGCCACAAATATTCAAAAATAACATCTTTTTTGAGTTTTTTTTTTTTTATGGGACTAATCCCACCCACACCACTGTAACTCCTGTACACCAGGATCCACAGCAGTGACCCACGAACACACCGAGTTATGACACTCGGGAAGTCCCAGGAAGAAATTAAACTGTCTTGGAACCCGCAACGAAATTAATCAGAAGAAAATATGAGGAGTTGGAAATACAGTAAATAAATCCACTTCCCTCCTTAGCAAAGCGGGAGACAAAATGAAGTAAAATAGGCATATACCCTTGTAGCCGCTTTTCTTCTCAGGCGGACTACTCACCGGCTGACCCAGTGGAGAGATTGATGAGATAACCTCAGGGCGCCTTTTTAAGAGAACAGATGTGTGTGCGTGTGGGAAACCTACGGGATTCAGAAGAGGAAAACAACTTACACCTCAGTCATATATACATGTATATTAAAATAAAAAAAAAAACAAAATTAAGGTTACAATAAAAAACAGAGGGTATAAGAAAACCCGCAGCGGAGCGCGTCAGAGCCGAGCTGATGGTGCTCGGTGCCTCCTCGTCTTCACTCCAGGAGGTTACTTCCTCTTCCGCCCGAGTCGGCTATTTATATTAGATATTGATAAAAGTTAAACAATTTGCATTTATGAGTTTATAAGTAAGTACGTAACCCTTGGGTACGGCTGTCCGCTTGCGTCGTGAGCCGCGCAATCACCAGCTTGCCAGAGGGTACCGAGAAACTTGAGTCTGAACCAGAAGGCCACAAACGAGCAAGCACGCCGTCTGAGACTGACCGTCTTGACCCCGAAATCTGGGACCCTACGAATGGATTAGCACTCATATAATTAATCAGGTTCCAGAAACAAATAGGTTTAAGAAGAATTAAGACCATACTCACCACTCTTGTGGGTACTTTTGAACAGATAATATATTACGAAAATCAAATCACACAGCAATCAAAACACTATTTAACATCGGAAGGCACGAGATAGCAGAGTGTCTCCCGTGGCAGAAAGCCGGACTTATATATCTTCGGTTAACGAAGCTTCCAGAAATTAACCCCTCTTCAACATTTTACTTTGACATTTAAATTACCGACGAGGATTAACCCGACCAAGATCACAAGTAACTCCTTCCTACCATACCAGAACCCTCTCAATACCTATACAATTTGTCATGATAGATCAATACTAACTTATCTACAAACAAAAACGCCATCTAGTGGTCCGACAGTAAACGCGGAAACTTTAGCTAAATCAACAACAATGCAACGCGGCCAATAGATGTCTCTTTTAACAAGACCGTACGCATTACAAATATACAAAAAAATAACTGTTACACCACCCCCTCCCTCAAAGTATTCCCTGCGTAGCATGCGCAGGGAATATCATCACTAGGGTCAACCCAAGAAATGCTAAATAAATTATATAGCTAGCGCTGACCACACTCATTGTGAGCAATATGAAATCCAAACAAAACAATAACTACCAAAAAAAACAAAGTCAAAAGGCCTTCACCCAATACTACAGAAGTGTTACCCTATTTACTACCCGAATCACTGTATGGTTCTCACATAAGTGAACTCCATAGAGTGAGCAGGTGTGTGCCAATACGCCGCACTTAAATCAATGGAAGTCAAATACTTTGCATTATTGAGATGGTCTAGGATTTGGTTGATATACGGCAATGGATACGCATCACTCTTAGACGCAGAATTGAGCTTACGAGAATCAAGGCACAATCTTAGGTCACCATTCGCTTTCTCCACCATCACCACTGGTGAGTTCCACGCGGACTGAGATGGGGTCACTACTCCCATCTCCAACATCCGGTCCAGTTCCTCTTCCAAGGCTTTCTGTTTCAGGGGAGAGAGCGGATAGTACCTTTGCTTGATTGGCTTACTGTCTCCTGTGTCTATGACATGATGCACCAGAGATGTTCGACCTAAACCAACCTTGTCCGTGTTGATCGTATCAAACTTCTCAATGATGCAGTTAATTACCCGCTTCTGATCGGCGGTCAAATTGTTGTAATCCTCTAGACCACTGTTAAGAGACAGAGCCTCCACAGGATTACAGTCGCTAAAGTTGGAAAGATTGATATTCTGAGAGATCAGTCTATTCCCCAATTGAAACTGTTGCCAGAAGTCTACACCAAATATCATGGCAGTAGTAATCTCTGGTACAACATAAAACTTAATAACTCTGACAGCAGAATTATATTCAATAGGCAAAGAAATACAGCCCAGACATGGCAAATATGAGCCGTCTGCTGTAGTTAGGCTAAAGTTAGGGCTGATGCTTTCAAGCTCAAACCCTAATTCAAAACAAAATGTGGTGCGCTCCCTTACCCAACACAGAGCAAGCTGCACCCAAATCAAGTAACCCTAGAACATTTAAGTTCAGGATCTTAACTACTAAATACGGTCTTATATCATTGTCCCGTTTGGTAAACAGGACCCTATCAGAGTGATCACCAGACAGAGAAGCTCGCTCCGACTCGACCGGTGATCTTTTAACAAGGCCCTGACTTACTCGTTTTTTGGCTTGGCATTGCATTTCGGACACTCAGGTGCTCTTACTCCCTTTTGTCCACACCGGAAACACACCACTTCCCTCGACTGTGTACAGCCGTAGGTAGGGTGATCGCCACCACCACAGCGGAAGCACTTGTGTGCGCTCGAGGTCGAAGGACGGGCCACTGCAGAGACCTGTTGAGAAGTTTTTTGAACTCATTTATTTTTCATATGGTGTAAATCCGAGGTGATCCCACACCTTTCGAAAGCTGGTTCCCGAAATGCCTCAGCCCTAGCACGCGCAAGTTCAAGGCGCTTCCCCAATCGCTTCAGATCGAATATAGATTTTACGTCATGAAGGGCCAATTCCTTCATGTAATCGGGCCTGATGTTGTGCATCAAAATGTCCAGTTGTTCCTCACTGGGCATCTTGCACGAGAGTCTAGAGAACATTGCCTGCATTGTAGAGATGTAGTTGCCCAATGTTTCTGATCGGGCCTGTGTACGCTGTCTGATTTCATTGCGGAGGCGATAATCATAGTCAGGAAGGTCGAAAGTTTCTTTCAGCTCCTCTATCATGCCCTCATATGAGGTGAAAGTCTCCTTGTTGGTGCGGTACCACGACAAGGCCGGACCGTCCAATAGGTCAGAGAAGGCTGTGAGGATCTTATCCTTGGTGACTTCCCGAGCACATCTAAGCTCCTCTAGTCTCTCAATGAAGACACGTACACAAGAAGAGCCATCATATTTTATATTAAAAGAATTTAAATTAACGGGTCTATCCCTTACTATTATATTTGAATTAGGGTCGGAACTGGGTGCGTTGGGTCGCATCGAGCGGTCCCCCCTTACCACAGGTGAGGTGTAACCTATGTGGTCGCGATGAGTAGGATCGGTCTCCTTCTCCGAACCCTCAGAGTCCGAGTCGGTATCTGATTCAGACACCGCCAAAACTTTGACCAAGCGGTCACGGATGCCTACTAGTTCTGGACAGTCTAAACCACACCTGGCTAACCTAGCGAGAAGATAATTAGCCCTCAATGCAACTCTAGTACGACAATTTTTATTCGACACAAAGTCACCTGAAGAAAGGACCTGTTCCAGCTCAGAGATCTTAGGCTCGCAGACAGACAACTCAGAGGCGGCAACAGCAGGAACAGCGGCGATGGCCTTAATGCTACCACGCCGGATAAGCCGCAAAGCAGTACGCAGTTCACTTCGCAAGCCGACAACCGTATCATCCGGATTCGCTGAAATCCCCATGGCAGACAGTTCATTAATAAGTTCATCTTTTTTAAGGTAGTTAATGCACTCACGTAAATGTGCCATGGTGGTTTACAATTCAAATTCGATTATACAAAAAAAAACTCAACAAGTTAACAAACTAGTAATGCAGACTTAATGTCTTTTACAGTTCAAAAAAGTAAAAAAATAATGATATTGAGTAGACTTCTTCACTATTAACAGAGTGTGAGAAAGTTAAAGTAAATTAATATTTTAAAAATATTACAACAAAATATTAAAATATCAAGTAATATCTCAAAGTAAAAAATATTGCTACTGAGTATATTTCTTCACTATTAAGTGTGAGAAAGCTAAAGCAAACTAATATTTTTTAAAAATACTACAATAAAATATTAAAACATTAAGTAATATTTCAAAGTAAAAAATAATGCTACTGAGTATACTTCTTCACTATTGAGTGTGAGAAAGCTAAAGCAAACTAATACTTAAAAAAATACTATAATAAAATATTAAAATATTAAGTAATATTTCAAAGTAAAAAAATAAAGCTACTGAGTATACTTCTTCAGTATTAAGTGTGAGAAAGCTAAAGCACACTAATATTTTAAAAAATATTATAATAAAATATTAAAACATTAAGTAATATCTCAAAACTTGAGAAGCAAATTCAACTAAAGACAAAGATATTCTTGTTTCACAATTCAAGACACAAGTTATATTATCTATAGAATATTGACACAGTAATCCAATGAAATGACAAAGTTTTTTATTATAAAAGTTAATTCGACAAAAAAATTTAAGACAAGTTATATTATCTTTAGAATATTGACCTAGTAATCCAATGGATTGACAAAGTTTATTATTATAAAAGTTATTTCGACATAAATTCTAAGTAGGGTATGTATACAACAAAACTATTTTATTTTAATTTTAAACCAGTAGGTTATATAAAAAATGGAGGGTACATAAAACTTTATAAGTTAAGTTAAGTTTATAAGTTAATTACACCAGGAGTACTGGGATAAAAGAACACACTGAATATACACGTATGCACAACTTCACGCTACGGACCTCAAAGGTACAAACAGAAGTAGCTAACAAAAAAATAAGAAAAAAAAAATTTAGTTTGGCCAAAAATGTTTCAAAACTTACCCAGATATGTGCAGTTGGAATTTTGTATCAATTTGGAATTTAGGTGTCTCATTGATTTTCCTTGCCTCAGGGATGATGGTACAATAGGCTGAAAATACAATGAGGGTAAAATTATTACATGCGTACTGCACCCGCACAACCAATTAACGTCCTGGGGAGTATCGGACGGAGGGAAGTGTCTCCTCCAAAGTGAATACCCCTAGGCACACTCACACAGCACACACACAGAGGTCTGGATCGATGGCCAAACGTTGGTCGCCAATTTGTAGCCGCTTTTCTTCTCAGGCGGACTACTCACCGGCTGACCCAGTGGAGAGATTGATGAGATAACCTCAGGGCGCCTTTTTAAGAAAACAGATGTGTGTGCGTGTGGGAAACCTACGGGATTCACCAGAGGAAAACAACTTACACCTCAGTCATACACATACATGTATATT